TCCTGCTTACCCGAGGTTGCCTGTGTTTTAGGGTGTAGAGCATGGATACAATGATGGCTGATTGGGCCACAGGTGAGTGTAAGATTTCTGTCCTGCCTGCACGTCATCCATCATAATGTGGTATTTATTAGCATGAATGTGTAACTGAGTTATTTGTGAGGTCGTTGCTCTCTGTTTGATAGAAAACTTCCCATTTAGAAAAAGCCCATTCTTTTCTGTCCCTTAAACTTGGCAAACCTGACTTTTCTGCATTGTCACTCAGGTAACTAGTCACCATCGCTGATGACGTTTGCTGGCATCAAAAAACACTGTCACCTGATTTCGGTCTCTCTCGTTGGTTTTCCTTGTAATTGCTACATCACATAAAAAGATAATGGAGAAGATAAGCTCCTAATTGACCAAAAGTGACTTCCAAATTCCAGATTTAAGTAAATATTAAAAGATGGAAGCCTCACCTACAGCTGCCAGAGTAGGAGGGGAGGGAGTTGTGGACTCATCTGTGCCCACCTCGGCCTGTAGGAGACAGCTGCGTTTCTTCTTCACATTAAATGAAGTGCAAAAGGGAATACTCAGGAGGTGCAAATGGGTTTCTGCCCTTTCATTCAAAAACGGTGGTGTAATTCATGGTAATTTGGCTCTAGCCAAGAGAACCTCTTTCCGTGAAAAATGTATTATTGTGCGATTTAGCCAGCCTGCAGGAAGCACTGACTTAGTGACAGATACGTGGTGTTTTGGGTTCATTCCTGATAGAAGTTCCTGTGACCTGGGGTGAAAGCGAGGCATTGTGAATTTCACTCTTGTGGTGAAGTTGGACCTCCCTGTACACACGGGACAATTTGTATATTCACACACGCTTCAGCATGGAAGGGGCACTAATTCATCAAGATGCAGAAACATTTTGTGCCTAAAGAAGTGGCAGGAAAGTTATGCAATGGGTGTGTAGTGAGAGAGAGGAGGGATAGTTTAGGTGTCCCCACTGATAACATTTCTTCCTGAAAACTGCGGATGGTTGCAAGGTGAAGTCACTTAAAGAATAAAGAATCATGTTGAGCTCCCCAGTTCTTTACCTTGTCTGGGGAACTTAGATCCTAGTTATTTCAACATGAAATGGAAGGGCTGCCAAAATGAAGGCCTAAGGAAATCCAGCTGAGAAATACATCTTGAGCCCAGATGGAGTGTCTTGAGTTTAGTTACTAAGCAAGGCCTGAGGTTACTCTGTGAGGATCTGTTGGACTTATTCTGAGGCCATCTCTATGAAGGTCTGCTTATCCATGTAGGGAGGGCTGAGGTGATCCTTTTCACATTTTTTTCTAGAGTTTGACATTTAGCTGTTAGGAGTTGGCATTCAGAGGAAACCTGGCTATGAGAAATACAAAATGAAAGATACAGAGGCTGACAGGGTCACAAACATTTCAGCAAATATACTTAAAAATATAAGGCTAGGTCACCTCCTGGGAAGAATGGGGGTAGCTCTGAGATGGCTGCAAGTTATGGAACATCGCACATGTCACTGTTACTGATTAGAAGCAGCTGCCTCTCCAGAGGACCGGACTCTGTGCTTTGATACAGAATGTGGATGATTTGGGGTTTCATGATAATGCTCAGTATCTAACCTCCAGTTCCCAGATTGCCAGTCGTTAAGGAGGTCAACAGGAAAATGAGTTTCCCAAGTCTCTGCAGAAGAGAGGCAGCTGTGGTTGAAGAACTACACCTCAAGACTTTGTTTGCTTTGTGAAAGGCAAATAAATCTCAGGACCCCAAAATCACTAAGCCAAAGGGAAAAGTCAAGCTGGGAACTGTATCAGACAAACCTGCCTCCTATTTTATTATTAAATTAGATAGCTACAAAGGTTTTAACAAAAACAAAAACGATATACCTTCCTCACAATTTGCCCACAAGGAAGTTCCTTATGGACAAAGGACAGATACAACTCAAAAGTATCCCTCTGCTTACCTGAGAAATGCTTTCTCTGCCCTATTGTTTCACTAAGCTAGACTAAAGCATAAGGGACTATTCCTTTACTCTCCTGTCACATGTAAATTGTTTGTTTAGTTGAAAGCTAATGAGAGACTCAAAATAATATAACAGATTATCTCTTATCTAGCTATAAACCTGGAAGCTCCCTCCCCAACTTCAAGTTGTCCTGCCCTTCTGGACTGAAACAATATACATCTTTCATTCATTGGCCTCTCATGTCTCCCTAAAATGTACAAAACCAAGCTGTACCCCAACTACCTTGGGCAAATGTCGTCAGGACCTTCTGAGGTTGTGTCATGGGTGCATTCTTAAGCTTGACAAAAAAAACTTCCTAAATTGTTTGAAACCTGTCTCAGATACTTTTGAGTTCACAAGTTGGCAGCCGTGAAGGGATTCTGAATGTGGTTCCCCTGACCTTCGACAAATCTATGGGTGCTTTGTATTAGCTTAAGTTACCTTTATGGCTCTGACCAATATGACAATTTGCTGAGGCCCCTGATCTTCCTAAATCTCCTTGATCGAGATCTCAAGTTTATTTTGCTGTGCAACTCCGTTTCTGGAGTTTTGGCTTGCTTCCAACAGGGAAGGCAAGTTAGAGTTCTTTTCCTGTTTCTTGGATGGTAGAGAGCAGTCTTTAGCCCAAGACCCATTCCTACGTAGTAGCTGAATTGGGGTTTGTCTTGCCTAAATTTAACAACCAGCTGGTCTTCATTTCTCCTTACCTGCGAAGTGCTCAGTAATTGTATAAATTGTGTAATTGCTTGTTTTGTGTAACTTTTTGTTGTTGTTGTTGGTGGTGGTGGTGATAGTTTGTTTCTGGTGTTGTTTCTGTCTTTTTCCTATTGGATTTGACCAGCTTTACCTGACTTCATTCAATCTAAAGGGAAGTTCCAAAGTATGGGGAAGAAGGCCTCTGAATTGGCTAAATTTCCACAGTTGAAAAAAAAAATGGGAAAAAGAAAATGACAGCCAGCAAAAGGAAAAAAGGAAAAAAAAAGTGACTATTCCTTAATCCTCCTCTTATATGTAAATTGTATATTCAGTGAAAAGTTAATCAGAGACTCAAAATAATGCAACTAATTGTCTCTTTATCTACCTATGACCTAGAAGCCCCCTCTCCTACTTGTAGTTGTCCAGCCTTTCCAGACCGAACCAAAACACATATTGATTGACATCTCTTGTCTCCCTCAACTGTATAAAACCAAGCTGTACCCCAACCACTTTGGGCACATGTGGTCACAACCTTCTGAGGTTGTGTCATGGACACATTCTTAACCTTGCAAAATAAACTTTCTAAATTGATTGAGATCTGTTTCAGATACTTTTTAGTTCATTCCCTTTATATTTCTAAATGCAGTTAGCAGCCCTTGGCTTAGGTTGAAAGAGAATACAGTGATTCTTAGGAAACAGGTTAACTGAATAGTTAGGATGGAATTGTTAGGAATAGGAACAGGGGAAGGAAATTCATGATCTCAAAGATGGAAGCTAATACCAGGTATTTGAGCATGAAGGGACATGCTTATGGGTGGTTTTTTTGTTTTTTTTTTAATATGGCTAAAATTAGAATCTTGAGCTCTAGACCTCCCTTACCTCAGCAGAACAAATCAGTTTCTCCCCAAGACTTCCCATTTCATTAAATGGTGCCCCTCTCAATTTGTGTAGAGCCCAAAATCTAGGAGTAATTTTTAATTTTCTCGACTTCCCTTTTCCCCATCCATGATATATACAAAACAAATTCCAATCCCTGTTTCTCTTCTGCCACAACTCTGAGCTCTCCTCCGTTCTCACCTAGACCACCCCTGGGCCTCACTGGGCTCCACGTGTGTGTGCCTGCCACCACGCGCTGCATTCTGTGCATACCACAGGAGAGGCAGCTCCTCCCTTGGCCTCTGTACACTCTAAGGTGAAGTCTGCTGTGGCCCCTGTCCATTGCTCTAGGCTTATCTTGCACTGCTACTTGCTGGCAGTGCTTCATACTACTTGCTTGTGCCAGTGCTAATTTCCGCCTCAGGCCCAGTGCACTAGCTCAGTGTCTGCAACCTTTTTGGCACCAAGGACCCATTTTGTGGAAGACAATTTTTCTACAGATGATGGCAGAATTTGGGGTCGTTTTAGGATGATTCAAGTGTGTCATATTTATTTTGCACTTTGTCTCTTATTATTATTGCATTGTAATATATAAAGAAATAATTATGCAACTCACCATAATGTAGAATCAGTAGGAGCCCCGAACTTGTTTTCTTGCAACTAGATGGTCCCATCTGGGGTTGACGGGAAACAGTAACAGGTTATCAGGGTCTCCTAAGGAATACACAACCTAGATCCCCTGCATGCACAGTTCACAGTAGAGTTCATGCTCCAGTGAGAATCTAATGCTACTGCTGACAGAAAATAGAGCTTAGGTGGTAATGTGAACCATGGGGAGCAGCTGTAAAAACACATGAAACTTCACTCACTTACCTGCTGCTCACCTTGTGCTATGTGGCTCAGTCCCTAATAGGCCATGGATGGGTACTGATCCATGGCCCAGTGGTTGGGGACCATTGTGCTAGCTGACACCTCCTACCCAGAATATTCCTTCCCCCCACTTCTTTACCGGCTCCGTCCAAACCACTTGTCTTTCAGTCTGACTTCAGCTCAAGCCACCCCTACTCAGAGACTCCTTCTTTGCCCTCTATGTAGGAGGTAGCCATGGGGTCATTCCCTGTCACATCACTCTACCTTATTCTTTGGAGAGTACTGGTTACATTTTGATACCTGGCTTTCTTGTTGGGTGGCTTGCCTGTCTGTCTCCCTAGAATGTAAATGTCTGAGAGCAAGGACCTGGTCTCTCTTGGTGACTCTTTCCCCAATAGCCGGAACAGTGCTGATTGAGATGGTAGCACAGTGAATACCTCCCACTGGGAAGTGCATTGATGGCCTCTGACCGTGGAAGCCATCAACAGTGCCAGTATTGTTGGGCCTTCCTTCCTGCTCCCACCATTTCCCCTGGTTCTGACTGCTACCTTCCCTTGCCTTGCAGCCGCCCATGCCAACTTCCGTTCCCGTCAACCATGCAGCAGCACAGCCCCATGTCCTCCCAGACCTCCTCCATCAGCGGGCCACTGCACTCCGTCTCCCTGCCGCTTCCACCCCCGATGGCCCTGGGCGCTCCACAGCCCCCACCCGCCGCCTCCCCCAGCCAGCAGCTTGGCCCAGATGCCTTTGCAATTGTGGAGCGAGCCCAGCAAATGGTGGAGATATTGACAGAGGAGAACCGGGTGCTTCACCAGGAACTTCAGGGTTACTACGACAATGCTGACAAGCTCCACAAGGTGCGTGATATCCCTGGGGAACGGGCAGGAGACAAAATTCTTTACCTGGTCATGGGGAGTTGAGGCACTGACTGACTTACCAACATTGCACTAGACTTCTTTTTGTACCAGGCCCTGTACAAGGCTTTTGGAAGACAAAAATAAATATGACCCAGTTCCTGCCTTGGAGGAGCTTACATTCCAAAAGTGGGAGAGAGTTGCATAAGCTAATACCTGCAGTAGGAGTTTGAGGGGTCTACTGTAGGAACAGCAGATGTGCCCCTCAGAGACTCAGAGGCTAAGTAGGATTTCCCCACATGTACAAGTGGAGAAGAGGGAACACAGAGAGTAAATAACAGAGGAGGTCGGGAGTGGTGGCCCATACCTATAATCCCAGTATTTTATAAGGCTGAGGCAGGTGGATCGCTTAAGCCCAGGAGTTTGAGACCAGCATGGGCAACATGGCAAGACCCTGTCTCTACAAAAATTACAAAAATTAGCCAGGCATGGTGGCCCATGCTTTGCAGTCCCAGCTACTCGGGAGGATCACATGAGTTGGGGAAGCAGAGGTTGCAGTGAGTCAGGATTGCTCCACTGCACTCCAGCCTGGGTGACAAGAGTGAAACCCTGTCTCAAAAATAAAAAATAAATAAAGTCACAGGGAAATGAAGTGAGAGATACCAAATTTTCTTTTAAATGTGGGAATCTCAGACAGGAACCTTGTGTTGTCATGTTCATTTCATTACCTGGTCTCTGCATAAAGCAGTCTTGCCTCAATGTGAGAGGGTCAAGAGTATGAGTTATTGTGTGCTTTCTGCATGCTTGTGACTTACCAGGTGGGGAGATGCTGAGTAATTCCAGCCTGTGTAGTTACTGTTGGAATATTTAAATGTATAGCAGCCATTATTCTTAGAGATTTATGCTGAGAGCCAATGTAAATAGGGGAACATCCAACAAGAACAAGCTGTTGCTTGGGCAGTGATTTCATGATGACTTGTAAGTCAGCATCTGATGTGCTGCAGGTAGAATGCAAGGGGGCAGGCAGTGGTAATAGGATGTTTTAGGGCAGGGTAACCGTAGAGCACTCGAGTTTCCTTTTCAGTGGGTGAGGAGGCATGAGTAGTAGTGGTGATCCTTTAAGACTCTAAGTGCCAGGCTCTTTTCTTGGTAATAAAGGGCTTCTGTAAAGTTAAAGTATAGGCGTATAAACCCCACCTGTCTACAAGAACATTGTCACTTTGGCTGTGTGTGACAATTAATGCACTGGCTGGCCCATTTAGTGTTGATTTCACAGGTGAAGCCGGTCATTTTGCTGGTGAAGGGTTTTAGAGTAGTAGGCTCTACTTGCTTCCTGAGGGCTATCAGGGAGCAGCGGATTTGATGGTGCATATCTTCACAGACAATCTGTCCCAGCATGTTTGTGCAGAGCTTCTGCTAAAAAGGTCTGGAGCTCCCTGGAGTCAAGACCAGACTTGGCTCAGGGAGCTCTGGCAGCTTTTATTGAAGGGGGAAAATGAGAGCCAGAAACAAATAAGGGCCGCCTAAAGATTGCAGCCTCACTCCTGCCCCTTCTTGTACCCTTAGAAGTTGGGAAATAGGCATGTTGTCTCATGGCCCTCAGCCTGTAAGATGCTTCACGGGTCCAATCTTGCCTCTGACATTTTTGTGCAGCTTCTTTTTTGGTATGGGCTGAAAATCGGGAAGCGCTGACTCAGCACTTCTTGGGAAACAAGCATTTCTTTCTTCTCCAAATGAAGCTCCAAGGCGGACATGTCAAGAAGCTTTACAGACCCACTTGAAGGCAGAGTTTGATGCTGGCGTTTTTCTCATGGCTGTTTCTGAAGAGATACACAAATGGTGCAGAAATTGGAGATCTTGTTATTTTTCATTGTCTTTTTATTAATATGTACTCTTTATTGACCTATGACATACATCTGTTTCTTGATTTTGATGTACATTTCCATTTTGAAAACTAAAATGGCTCAATCTCCCAGTGTGTCGATATCCCTGCACAGAGAATTGTTCTTAAAAGTTGTGGCCAAAAGGATTTTGATGACTTCTGCAAGAGGAGACTAATCAAAAGCAGTGTCCCTTCTGGAACCCAAAGCTTTTTTAGTCCCTTGAATGTTATAAATTGTTCTGCAAGTACAGTAAGTCCTCATTTAATATCATCGATAGGTTCTTGGAAACTACAGTTTTAAGCAAAACCAATTTTTTCCTCATCAACATCACAGTGAAATGATGTTGAAAAAAATGATGTTATTTGGAGGCCTGCTGTGTGTTATTTCAATTAAAGTTGCAGTTTCCAAGAACCTGTCGACGATGTTACATGAGGACTTATGGACTACATTGATCTATCACATGTAAAAATGGAATTATCAATTAAAAACCTCAGATTTTGATGGATACTTGCCATACTCATCACAAGTTGGATAGCTGTTTTCAACAACTGGGACCAAGAGACACAAGAGTTGCCTGAACTTTGTGGTATAACATTTTGTGCATTGCATTCCTAATGTCACCCTAGTCCTCGATCTACCATCATCCCTAGCCTTGCCGCTCAGTGTTCCTAGCAGCTGCCTGAGCCTTAATCTGGGTAGAGGGTGTTCAGTTGAGCTGACAACTTTGCTTCTCAGCGATGATGGCTGCCAGTTCTTCTAGCATGGATGTGACCCCTGTTTTGGGTGGGCCTGCTGCACGATGTTGTAGGATATGACCCCGCTATGCCCACAGTATTGAAGGACTATGTTAACTTCTCTTCCCGGGTCCACAAGGGTCGTGGTTTCAAAGGCAAGAATTTCCTGGTGCCAAAATGTGGCACATATACACCATGGAATATTATGCAGCCATCAAAAATAATGAGTCCGTGTCCTTTGTAGGGACATGGATGAACCTGGAAACCATTATTCTCAGCAAGCTGACACAAGAGCAGAAAAGCAAACACTGCATGTTCTCACTCATAGGCGGGTGTTGAACAATGAGAACACGCGGACACAGGGAGGGGAGCACTACACACTGGGGTCTGTTGGGGGGAAATAGGGGAGGGACAGCGGGGGGTGAGGAGTTGCGGGGGGATAGCATGGGGAGAAATGCCAGATATAGGTGAAGGGGAGGAAGGCAGCAAATCACACTGCCACGTGTGTACCTATGCAACAATCTTGCATGTTCTTCACATGTACCCCCAAATCTAAAAGGCAATAAAAAGTTTTTTTTAATTAAAAAAAAATTTTTTTAAAAGAAATGTAAAATAAGACATTGCCTTAGATGCAGGTGAAAATCCACCAAAGCAATAAAACATGGTTTTGTTTTTAATAAATAAAAAAATGAAAATATGGAAAAAAAAAAAGAATTTCCCGGTGCCATACCTCTAGTCACCTCCCCGCCATCCAGGAGCCTAGAGTTCTTTGTCTAACTTTACCACGCGTGAGAAGGTAGACTGCCTAGGTAAACTTCCTTTGTTTAGAAAGCCGGTGAAAAGGGCAGCCAATCCAATATCAAAGTCAAAGATCAATCACTCCAGTGAAAGTTTGAAAGAACTCCTCTCATGGGACAAGAACTTGAATGAGGTGGGAGTAACTCCTAGATTTAAAGTCCCCCTGCCCCTTACCTGTGCAAACTCCATCTCTGGACCCCCTCCTAAGACAGGTAGGAGCTCACTCTCTATTTCTCTTTCTCTCTTCCTACCTAATAAATCACTTTTCTGCAAAGCTCTTTGGGTCCAATATTTACTTGAAAAATATCACTGCTACCAAGCTCTCCTACTCATTCTTGGGTGAGCGAGAGCCCGAGGACCTGGAAAAAATTCATTCAATAGGGGAACAGTGCACACCTTTTGGGATGCCCCTGCAACCTGCTCCTGTCCTTTGTGTTACCGTATCATCCCATCAGAGTTCCTTGCAGCACTGGGAATGCTTTGGCCCTTGCAGAGATGCATTGTAAGGGCAGAACTAAAAATAGATGAATTTTTAATTGCAGAGTTTAGCCGATGCATACTATGCCAGGAACAGCAGAAGAGAACATTTAAACTCAGAGACTAAAAAATCCCAGCCTAGATAGGAAGAGCCTGTTTCCAAAGAGGCACAAGGTAGTGATTATCAAGGTAGTTGGAATGATGGTCGAGGATCCCCAGAAAGAGCTGTTGTTTTCAGTCTTATCTTTTGGTTATGTTTTTTTCTTTTTCCTCCCAGTTTCCCTGAAACTTAATTAACAGATGGAGTTTCTACCAAGGCCATACTGTAGGCTGTTGAGTGGGTTGGCCTCGAAAGCCATCAGGGAATAGATGGGCATTTGATGGGAGAGGGCCAAGCATTGGCAGTTACCCGGGGCTTGCTTTAGTGAAGACCCTCTTTTGTGAGTGAAACAAAGGTGGCTTTGATTGGGCAGTCTGTGGCTTGCACAGCAGGCCTTTCTTTGGTCCTGGGCATCCCTGAGTGGTACACATGAAGGTGCTCAGGGAGAAAACCAGTAGTATCTGGAGCTTAGAATGGCTGAGATTTTCTCAGGGGCTTCTCTGTCCATTTGCTTATTACAACAGTGCCAGTGGAAGTCAGGCAGGGCTTTCTGCTCTGCTTGTAGTTCTGTCTCTGGGACATTGAGTGTATTTCTGTGATTGCAGGGATTCTTACTGTCTGGCCTAAGAGCTCCCTGACACCTAGGATGAAAAGGAGAATGAGAGCTGGCAAAGTAAACTGGGATTCCCTTCCTGTACCATACTCAGAGTGTGAGATGGTCCAGATAGTTTTTGTATCAAACCAGCCTGTCTAACCTTCCCTGTATCTTTAACAAATGTCAGAGGGTGCTTAAGATGTTCTGAACATGGAGAAATAGAAGAAGGTGTGGTTTTACTCTGAAGGAGTGTACAGTCAGAAATAAAAAGCTTTAGTCTTAAAATTCTTAAAATGAGTCTATTTCAAGTTCCCATTCCTTAGTAATTCTTGTGTCATGTCTCTGAAATGAGGTATTCATCTTTTACTTGAATGCTTCCAGAGAAGGGAAGCTCACTAATGGGTATATTGCACTTCTGGAAAATGTAGTTAGGAAATGTTTCTTTGTGTTGAGTCAAAAATCTGCATCTGGGCTGGGTGCAGTAGCTCACGCCTATAATCCCAGCACTTTGAGAGGCCAAAGCAGGCAGATCAGTTGAGGTCAGGAGTTCGAGACCAGCCTGGCAACATGGTGAAACCCCATCTCTACTAAAAAAAAAAAAAAAAAAAAAAAAAAAAATTGCCAGGCATGGTGGTGCATGCCTGTAATTCCAGCTGCTCAGGAAGCTGAGGCATTAAAATCACTTGAACCTGGGAGGTAGAGTTTGCAGTGAGCCAAGATTGTACCACTGCACTCCAGCCTAGGTGATGGAATGAGACTCTGTCAAAAAAAAAAAAAAAAAAATCCCCTGCATCTATTTAACTTCCTACATTTAGTCATACCTCTGCTTCTGTAACCATACTTTCTTATTCCCTTTTGTATTGTTATAACTGAATATCTGAGATTGGATAATAAATAAAGAGAAGTGGTTTATTTAGCTCATGATTCTGCCGGCTGGGAAGTTTGAGAAGCATGATGCTGGTATCTTTTTGGCTTCCAGTACGGGCTTTTATGCTGTGTCACAACATGGCAGAAGGTGGAAGCGGACATGTATGAAGAGGCAAAACTTGAAGATGATGTCCTTCTTCATAACAACCTGCTCTCATAAGAACTAATTCATTCTTGCAAAAACCAATCTTGTCTTACTACTGCAAGAAAGACACCAAGCCATTCACAAGGGACCCACCCCTATGACCCAAACACTTACCACTAGGCCCCACCTCCCAATGCCACCACACTGGGAGTCAAATTTCAACATGAGTTTTGCTGGGGACAAACCATATCAATAGCACACACTGAAGGAAATTAATCTTTCTCTACCATTACAGCTATCAGTTCTCGTAGGAATTACCTTGTTCTGAACTAAGACCTTTGTTTTTTCTCTAGGTCCCTTCTAAGCACATAACCACATCAGGTCTTGATTGTTTTAAGATTTAAGATAGTAAACTACATCATGGTACGGATCCTGAAGTTTCCTTTTACAGTATGCAGAGGGAAATTCTTTGAGTGAAAGGAAAGAATGCAGGATTCAGTGTCGAAGTCTGTCTTTAGGAGTTATACATTTAAAGATTAATTAATCACTCAGTATTTTGTCATGGGCAAGGCATAATTCCAGGAAAGTAAGAGCTGTTCTACCCTCAAGGAGTTAATAGTCAAATCAGAGATGCAAAATGCAGGTGCAGATTAGAATTCCAGTGAGAGAAATACAACAGATTAAAAAAAAATACTACAAAATCAGACGAAGGGAGGGGTCCCTGTGAGTGTAGTTAAGGAAGCCTTGCTAGTTGTCCTGGGCTGGAAGCCTGAACACCACTCTCACGGTGGATGCCTCAGAGTGTGATACTCTCAGCTTCCCTGGTGACTTGGTAATGGCCTTTGGTCTTGATGGGGACTATCCCTGTGACATGCCCAGCTGTCTGAAAACAAAGACCACTCTTTATAGATAAGAGCAAAGAAATGTCAGTATGTCTGGGAGGCATCTCTTTTGTAAATAAAATTTAAAGACAGGATCATAATTCATGGTAAGGCTATGAACAGGATTCAGGACATGCTGTTCTCTGTGCTGCTGCATTACCAGCAGTTCATGATATCTGTGGAAGAACCAGAAAGGCCTTGTTAAAATGAGGGGACCACGGAAGAACCAACTCTGGTAGAAGGAGGCCTTTGGGAACAGAAGGTGATACCAAAAGGAGCCTTGATCTTCTCAGCTCAGCTCCAGTTGGCTGATGCTAAGCAGAAGCCCCCGTGCTCTCCAGCCTGTTCGTCAGCCTCTTCTCAGCTATATCCCAGCTCTTCTGTAACCTCTGGGGGTGCTGACCACAGTATCTCTCCTCCTTTAAGTTTTTGGCGTCTAGGCTCCTACGGCTCCACTGGCTTCAGTCTTTTTCCCGGGTGCCCAGCCTCTTCTTTGGTGTGAATGCCTTTCTGGCCCTCTAATCTTCTGTTTCTCTCCCTGAGTGGCCTCTGCTTTCTGATGTCATCTGTCACCTATACACTGAGGACACTCTAGCCACCCTCCTGGCTTTTAGACCTGTATGTTCACCTGTTAACTAGAAATCTTCGCTAATATGTGCAGCAGCTTCCTCAAACATGGTATCTCCAAACCGAGACTAGTTTTTTTTTCTTTAGCGAGCTTGTTTCTCTTATAATCATTTACCTTGGTTGAGTCTTATTACCCCATCTTCTAAGCTGCGAATGTCTGTGTTGTCTTTGCTTGCTTTCTTCCTTATTGCCTGCACCTAGTCACCAAAATCTGTTGATCCTACTCATTAATGTCTTTGGAATTTGTCCTTTTAGTGTCATAGTTCTGCCTCTTGTCGTCATTGAGCTATTTACATTAGTTTTTTACCTGGATGTCTCTTCTACCTCTTCTCCTACCAACCCCCACCCTCCAACCTCATCATTAGTTTTGTCTCTGTAAAAACTCGAATGAGATTAGAATTATTACCTTCTTTCCCCAGTACCTCTCACCCCCACTAAGCCTCCCCTGCTCATAACTTAAAGTCCTTCCTTTGGGTCGTAGCTTCTGCCACTTCTACCTTGCCCTCGTCCCTGGACTACCATTTCTCTAAAATATTTACAGGCCAACTTAAGACTCTTAGCTCCTAAAGGCCAGGAATTGCCTTCCTTATTTCTGTATTCTCAGCTTCTGGAAAAATACCTAACATGTAAGCAAACAATGAATATCTGTTCACATATGTATTATTTATAGGAGTCTCGGCAAGGACTTTCTGATCTGGGCAATTGGGGCTCAGAAAAGAGGGTCCCTGGCTCCTGGTGCCATTGCTGTCCTGTGGAAGGACTGAAATCATGGTTCTGATCTCCTGGGGCCCAGTGAAGGGTGCTGCACTAGTGCTTTCAACCCTGTCAGCTTTGCCTTTGATTCTGACCTTAGCAGTATCTCATCAAGTCTCCATCCATGTTGCAGGCACCCTCACCTGGTCTTTACCCTTTCTCTTGCATTTATGTTATATAGCAATACCATGGGATTTATTCATCTCTATATCAAAACCACACTATTATATCAAATTCCTATTTGAATAGAGTTACTTGTTATCAATGTATACGTGCCATAGATTAAAGGCTTCCCCAGTTAGTTTTTGATCTAGTGAAACATTTTTTAAAATGGTTTTAATTTCTTGGCTATCTATACCTACATATAAAGAGGTTTTCTGTGATACATTTGTTTATGATTAGGTACATGTCCATTAATCCTTTTATTTATTTATTTATTTGAGATGGAATCTCGCTTTGTTGCCCAGGCTGGAGTGCAGTAAAGTGATCTTGCTCACTGCAATTTCTGCTTCCCAGGTTCAAGTGATCTTCCCACATCAGCCTCCCAAGTAGCTGGCTTACAGGTGCCCACCACCATGCCTGGCTAATATTTGTGTTTTTAGTATCAACATCACCATGTTGGCCAGGCTGTTCTAAAACTCCTAACTTCAGGTAATCCATCCACCTCAGCCTCCCAAAGTGCTGGGATTACAGGCATGAGCCACTGCACCATATAGCTGCTTTCATAGACAAAGTAATTAAAAATACTAGGTAATGAAGCCTTTTCTCCAATGGATTTTATGTTCCTTTGGGGACAGATAGGACTGTCTCTGGAAAGAGCACTGTACATCGAGTCTGGAAACTTGGGTTCTAATTATAGTTCTTTAATTTTTTTTTGTACTTTAATATTTTCCCGTTGTCAACTGGGAATAATCACAGTAGCTATAAATTGCCATTAAAAGTGTAAAAGATTTAAGTTATGTTTATATTTACCCCTTTCTAATATTGGTACAGAGGGATTTTTACAAGGTGACATCAGACCTTTTGGCCAGACTTGTAACTCTGTAATTTACAAGATCCTAATGTATTTAGAGAGCAGATTGGGGAGTGAAATCGATTATACAATTTGGTACATGTGAAACAAGATGCAGAAAGGCTGCACTGAAGATACAGCCTTTACACTGGCAGTGTCTAAGACTCCGTTTTACCAAGACACCAGCATAAATGTCAGAAGTACCACTTTAATGCCAGTTCTTTCTTTTAGTTTGAAAAAGAACTTCAGAGAATTTCGGAAGCCTATGAAAGTCTGGTCAAGTCTACCACCAAGCGAGAGTCACTGGACAAGGCGATGAGAAACAAATTGGAAGGCGAGATTAGAAGACTTCATGATTTCAACAGAGACCTCCGAGGCATGTTTATTCATGTTCTTTCTACCTAAACTATCTGTGTAGCTAAAAGCACGACTTCAGGGCCAGAGTGCTTTGCACAGGTAGACTAGGTTGTGTTGAATATTCTACCTGTGTTGAATAATCTGGTATATTTCAACCATCTGGGGAAGGGAGGAGGTGCTCAAAAAGCAGAATTGTTATTTTCTGCCTTGTGGGTTGTAGATTGCAGCATTGAGCTTTGGAAGTGACAGCCTATATGCGTGAGTCTGTTGAAGGAATGATTCTGTGTGTGGCTCCTTCTTGCTTTAAAAGTACTAAACTGTGATTCATGACTATGAGAATCCAAATGTTTGAAAAGATCAATGTTGGATGCACAACCCTTTCCACATCAGGCTGTCACTTGATAGCACTCTTTGAAAGGCAGCACTTAGGCTGGGCGTGGTGGCTCATGCCTGTAATCGCAGCACTTTGGGAGGCCGAGATGGGTGAATCACAAAGTCAGGAGTTCAAGACCATCCTGGCCAAGATGATGAAACCCTGTCTCTACTGAAAATACAAAAAAAATTAGCCAGGCATGGTGGCGGGTGCCTGTTATCCCAGCTACGTGAGAGGCTGAGGCAGAGAATTGCTTGAACCTGGGAGGTGGAGGTTACAGTGAGCCAAGATTGCACCACTGCACCCCAGCCTGGGCAACAGAGCGAGACTCCGTCTAAAAGAAAAAAAAAAGGCAGCACTTAAGTCTTGCTAGGTATAGTATAGAAGACAGAGCTAGACATATGTTCCTCTGGATGAAAAAATCCCCATAGTTGTGAAATAAGTAGACAATAAACTCGCTCAAAGATGAGAGCCACCTGCTGCTAGATTTTGGCAATCTCCAATGTGCACAATGAGTTACCCTATAAATGTTACTTCACTTTCAGCCAACCATTTTAAGTTGTTTCGTATGTCAAAACACTCAGTATCCTGATAGTACCCAGTAGCTAGATCCCACCTTTTCTGTTGCTATAAACGCTTTTGGGTTGAATGTCATCTGCATCCAGTGAATACTTGTTGAGTTGGATTATTTATTGAATAATTAAATATTTACCAAGTGGTTTGAGGAAACATAGAACTTGCTGTGTACAGTCTTCATACAGTAGGTCTTTTTGACTTTTTTGGGTATTTTTTTATTTTCATTTCTTTGATTCTGAGATACAGAGAGCTGTCACTGGCTAAAATATACAGCCGATGATCCAGATGAGACTAGGGCTGGGTTTGAGGCCAACGAGACTGCCCTTGTGAACCCTTCAAATCAGAGGTTTGCTGGCCTTGGAAGCAGTGAGGTGGTTTTTCGCAGCACCTGTCCCTAGCTGCCTGCTGCTGTTGCATATCCTTTGGCATTAGATGGCATAAAGTCACAGTGGCATCTGAAGCCTTTTCTTTTGATATTTCGGGACACAGTTATTGTCTGTCCCCAAGTTGTTCCATTTGAGGCTCCTGCCTGAGCATCATTTCCTCCCTAGCTCTTCAGCTCCCACCTGAACATCTCTTCCTCCCCAGCTCTTGGCACCTTTTGCATTTCTCAGTTAGATGATGACTTCAATCTGTATACATGTCTTATTTTTTATTTTTTATTTTTTTTGAGACAGAGTTCGGTCTTGTTACCCAGGCTGGAGTGCAATGGCACGATCTCGGCTGATTGCAACCACCGCCTCCTGGGTTCAAGGAATTCTCCTGCCTCAGCCTCCCGAGTAGCTGGGACTACAGGCATGCGCCACCATGCCCAGCTAATTTTTGTATTTTTAGTAGAGATGGGGTTTCAACATGTTGACCGAGATGGTCTCCATCTCTTGACCTCGTGATCCACCTGCCTTGGCCTCCCAAAGTAATCCATATACATTTCTTTGTAATCATTTCCTCTTTGTTCATAGATCGACTGGAGACTGCCAACAGGCAACTATCCAGCAGGGAATACGAAGGGCATGAAGACAAAGCTGCAGAGGGGCATTATGCTTCCCAGAGTGAGTCTCCACTTATTTATTTATCCCACAACTTGCTTGTTTAAAAACGGGGGCCTGAGGGAAGAATCATGTTAGTTTCAAGTAGGTTTTGTACTGTTTGCTTTTTGTTTGTTAATTTAGCCTACAACCTATTGGTCTCAGATGAGGCTCACCTAGGTCTGCCTGAGACAAAGCTGAGGTCACTATGTGTTGCTTCAATAGTTTTTATTCTGTCCTTCTGACCTACAGTTTCTCTCTGTCTCTCTATAATACACTTCAAGCAATGGCAACTTCACAGCATGTCCTGGCACTCACTGCTTCAGATAATATATGACTCTTTTTCTCCAGGAAAGGGAAGGAGGCCTAGTGGTGGGGTTTGGTTATCTCTGGGCAGGTATTGTCCTCATGTAGGTTGTAGAGTTCTAGACTGGCTACCCCTGGCCAATGTGCAAGCCATCTAAGTGATCGCATTATGTATCTCCATGTGTGACACTCATTTCCAGAAGCCACTGAGTCCATTTCAGCCAGAAATAATGAACGGTGGCTTTGTAAGCCTTGATTTATTGAGAGAATATTTTATTAATTGCAGCAGAGGCAAATGATAGAATTAAATGGATTTTGAGAAAACATTGATCAGGATTTGAATTTCTGCATGTTCATTGCAGTAGCCAGAAATTTAAATATCCAACTGTCTTTTTTTAAACTGTTTTGAAAATTGAATTTATATCTATATCATAATTCTCAATAAGATTATGAGTAAGTGCTCACAAAGTTAAGACAATTCAGAACAAAAAGTAATGTATTCAGGTACTAACCATCTGTCTTAAGATAGTGGTCTTCTGATGTGTGGGTTCCTCATGCAGCTCTACATTTTAAAGAATGGAAAAATTTTGGTTGAATTTTCTAATTTCCAAACTGGTTAGGTTTAACTCCTCTGTGTGCCCCAGATTGACTCATGATTGCATTCCAGCTATTAATACTAGCTCCATTTTTTAAATCCTGTTTTTTGCAAATGGACACTAATAATATCTAGGGCTTTTGCCTGGGATTCCTTTGTGGTCTCAGATGATTGGCCTTTGTTCCAGATTCACATGAAAGGCTGTATCAGCACTTTGAATTACTTGCTTTTGTAACAAAATTTATCTTGTATCTCTTCTTATGGGTGCAATAGATCTCACCTCAGTTTCATTTGAAAGGTGAGTTGTCTTTACCACTTGCATTTAGGATTGTGACACATTCCTTCTGGATAACTGCATGCCTAGGTATAGTAAGTGTCTCTGGCAGGAATGTCAGCAATGCCAGTGTTGTGCACACTGTGGGTATTCTGCCTTCTTGTCAGGGATGTAATTTGATCACTTAGTTCAGGTCAAAATGGAAAAGCCAGTTAATTTCACCTGATGGGCATTGTTCTGGCCTCCCAGCCAAGGCTGGTACAGAGTAATGAGGTTTGGTGCTCTGTGAACTCAGAAATGTTCTTCAGAAAGTCTTTAACCTTCTGGTTCAAAGCTGAAAGATCAGTTATCAAGCAAAGAGGCCCTTTCAGCTTTACAGGGCATTATTTGCTCTGTGCAAATATGCTCCACTGTGTTCCAAAGGCAAAAACAAGAGAGACCATAGGCATTTTTCAACTGCTTAAAGGTATCTCAGTGTCAATGCGTAGTGTAATTGAATCTAGGCAGAGCATTTCAAGCAGGTTTGGTAATGGTGATACCTAACCAATTTTCCTACACCTAATCTTTACAGAACACTTTGTGCCTTCACAGCTTTATAATTATTTACATTAGTTTTTTTTTCTCTCCTAGTGTGGCCAAGGGATAAAACCAAGATGTTATTTCAAATTTATAGTTAGATTGTTTTCTTAGTGAGTTGTAAGAATTATTACGTAAATCAGCATGTCCCCCACATATATATGTTACGGATATTTTCTCCAGTTGTTTTATATCTTACAGAAGATGTTTTTACGTGGACATATTTATGCCTTCAAGGTTTTCTGTCCTGCTTAGAAATACTTTTTACCCTCCCAGATAATAGTAATATTCACCAATGTCTTCTTCAAATATGAGTATGATTGCATTGTTTACAAGGACACATTTAGGAAACTAACTTGGGAGGCAGAGCAGAGGAGAGATTGATGAGGAACTATCCCAGAGGCAAGGAGGCTAGTTAGCAGGTATTTCAGTCTAGCATCTGGAGAGGAGATGGAAAGCTCATGAACTAAGCCAGTAGAAATAGCAAGGAAGAATAGGGGACAGACAAACAAGTGACATATTTGTAGGACTTCGTTGACCAATTGAATAATGGCAGTGAGGGAAAGGGATGTGACTGGGGCAACTAGATGGATGATCCCCCTTTACAGATAAAACATAGGGGGAGCAGGTTGGGATTAGATAATGACTTAACGCTTGAACATGTTCGTCATCTCATCTTGCAGCCCAGAGCTCAGTGAGCAGGTATACCAATAGGTGCAAAGATAACTCAGCAGGTTGGATGGGTGGTGCTCTCTGTCAGGCTCTTATTTTAGCATGTGGGTACAGAATGGCAGGCATGAATTATTGCCTCTCTTCCTGGTTATTAATGTGTCTCATGATCTGTGTATTTGTTCAGAAACCCTATTGTTAGAATAAATTTCTATTTCCTAGTGAGTATAATTATAGCTATTGCCCACTTAAGAGAAGCCATCCTTTTCAAGTGAGTTTTTTGTGATTCTAGCACTTGATTAAGAGAAAGGCAAGACTGCAATAAAAGTTGTATCTCGGGGTAATACATACCAAGAAGTCAAGGTTAGGTTGTGAAGCTCCTGCCAGCCACTTTGGCAATGAGAGAGTCACAGGGAAAGGGGAAGCAGAGAATAACATGTTCAGCTTTTTTGTCACATGGAAGCTAGGCATCCAAGTGTAAGAACACCCAGAACACCGAGCCAGCTCTTGCAGTTGAAGCCGTAGGTGGGACTTGAAAGATCTCCCAGTTAATGGAGGGAGGAGGTCCTTTCTGGCCATATTTAAACACTTCCCTCTGCTCAGGGTACTTTTCTTCTAAAAACTGAACTCCGCACTTAAGTTGGAGTTTCATGAAGGCCTTGATGGACTGCCTGGGTAATCACTACTTAATTCTAAAGATTGAAGTGGACATTAAACAGGCTCATTGTATTCCCCTCAGTCATGAGATTTGTCTATAGGAAAAATCTTGAGGAATTAAGTGCTTAGGAGCTTGATGCCCTTGAGGAATTTTTTTGCCCTGTCACCTCATGGTATTGTAACATTCTCTTTGGAGGAATTCAGCTTTTTGTTTGTGTATGAATTTTCTGGTCTGTCTTGTTTGTTTTTCCAAATGCTTTTACAGCTTATAGAATGGTGATGTCAAAGTCAAATTGCTCCTGAAAAACAGGGCATCTAGCCAACTCCTGTTTTATTTGACTGTGAGAAACTCGAGCTTCTTTGTCTCTTAACTAAGGTTCTCATTTTTCCCCTTCATTTGTCACAACACACATGCACACCAGAGGCAGGTTACTGTCTGCTAAAGGCAGAACCCCTGGAAATACCTCTTACCATTCTTAGCTGTGTCTTCTCATGGAAACTTTTTTAAACTGTTTCTTTCTTAAAATGGATAGCTCTGCAGAATTCCCATCAGCTCTAGGCCAGAAAGCCAAAACTAAAATATTAGATGTGAAGAAACTGAACTGGTAGAAATGAAATTTCATTTTATTGGGGTTTTTAAATAGATGTGTTGGAGCTTTGTCATATTCTTGAATTGAGTGGGAACTGATTAGCTCTGGCATGTTTGTGTTGTGCCAGGATAAACCCAAGCCATGTTTAAAGGTTGCACAAGAACTTATCTCCATCGCTTTGGGATTTGCTAGGCACTCCGTGTTCAACATATCTGGTTAAACTTAAGTCTATGTACATTAAGATTCTGGCTGTTAAATGATGCGCCTCTCTAAGAACAGAAGATCCCTTGGACATTCAGTGATTTGTTTAAAACAACATATTGATGAGTCGTGGATGTAAATGAGTCAGAACTATATGCATTTGACTTCCCTTAAAATTCTTGCAGTTTTAAAAATTAGCAGAAAAAAAATGTGTTGGACCATATTGCTTTAAAAATAATAATTTGCCATTTTCAGTGTAGCTGGCATCATCTTACCTTTAAATCTTATGTTAGCTATTTTAGTTTTCTGTCTCTTATAGAACCTAAAAGAGACTAAAATAATTTTCTAAAGGAAAATCCAATCCCTCCTGGTTTTTGGATTTCCATAGGTCTTGTGTGAACCACAGATCAGAAATTAAAATGACATAAGCATTTATTCTCTTGACCCACATAGAACATAAGGAGATTATTCTGAATCCTCATAGGTTTCATTACATCAGATGCTGTGGTTTTCTATCAAGCATCATTAGGAAGGAAGACTAGATGTTGTCACACATGAACACACTGTTTTACCACCTCTCATGGCCAGCCAGCATTAGCACTTGCGACTCCTCTTGACTCTGGGCTCCTTGGGGCAAAGCTCCTGTTCCAGCATCCCGTAAGGTCATGATTTATTTGTGTGACACTCCACGATATGGAAGAACCGTAGATGTTCTTTACCAGTATTCATCTCCCATCCCACTAAAACCCCTTGCATCTTCATGTACCTGGCATTCAATAAATGTTTACTGAGAGAATGAATAAAAGTGGAAAATCCTAGTGACAATAGGCTTGAAATTATCTTTATGCAGCATCAGTATCAAAATAATCTTTTAAACTCAACATTCCAGTCATGTTGAGAGAAACCTCAGGTAATTCTCTGTTACTTCAAGACATTAGGGCAAAAATTATTAAACAAACTGCTGTCAGAATAAAAGCGATTTAAAAATAGCTGAATTTCTTTTTTAGCATTCTTTCTCCTTTCCTAGAGTAGAAGCATATCCAGGTAATGGGAGTCTTTCATTATTCAGAATAATAGTATTTCTCAAGAAAGTTGATGTTAGTATCGTCCATTTTTGGTTCCTTTAACTACTTTTCTTTTTTTAAAAATTGTACTT